GTCAGTTCTAGGGTGAGAACTATCTCAAAAAAGAAGGTGGCGAAGCAATGGAGAGACACCTGGCATCACTCTCTGGACTATGCACAGGCATCTATGATCATGTAAACTCTCCCCCCCCCCCAAAGGCGGAGGCAAAGCAGCAGTGACAGATGGCGGGAGAAAGGAGGTCAGTACGAACGAAGGGCTGGCTCTTGGGTTTGCTTCTGAAGCCGCCCTGTATTCACAGACTACTTCTGGTTCTCAGCCCCACAAGCCTGCGGTCCTGACCAAGGCGGCCCTGGCCACTGCGGTCAGCGCTTCTCATCTCCACTCCGCCTTCGGTCACTGACTTTTCTAACTTGACTCTTCCCTGCTGCTCCTTTGTGTGGAGCTGAGGGCATAGGCCGCTGTGGCTCCTGGAGCTTGGCTGCATCCAGGAGGGCCCCAGGATGTGACCTTCAGCCTCATTTGACCTGAGACCTCAGGCTCCTCAGGCCGGGCTGCTCTCTAAGGGTTGAGGGGGAAGCTGAGGCCCGAGTCGGCCCTGTTCAGTCCTGGGAAGGGAATGAGAACCTGACCAACCTCCTAACTGGAAAAGCACTTGGAGGAATGTGGAAGGGCACGGAGCAAGGGCCAGGGGCCTGACATAATGAGGCAGAGGAAGACATTCCTGGGTGGTGACGGAGTAACAACGATGCTCAGAAACTCTCAGGATAAAGACCAGTGACGAAGTGACTCGACACTCCTGGGAAGACCACGTCAGCTCAGAAACCTTTGCAGGCTGTGGAGCAAGCTTCCCTCTAGGTGCTTTTCAGCCACAGATGGTCTTTCATGCCACCATCTGCAGAGTCAACAACTGACTTTTCCAAGTGCACACGCTAGTCAGAAAGCTGTAGGGGTAGAGAGATGCTACTCTGCATTCATTACTTCAGGGTTACCACATTTTCCCTGGAGATGTCAATAATCTTAATAAATGTGAGCAGAAAAAGACCCTGAAGATAGCGAGTCCCTCGTTAACAGCCCCGTCAAGCGGTTCTGCAGGGGTTAAGATATGTATGCCCTGCACTGTTCTCCCATCCCGCAAGGACCCGCTTAACTGCTGCAACGGCTCTAGGAGTTAGTGGCCACTACTGGACCCACGTCACTGGCAGACCAAGGTACAGAGGTCCACTAATCCACCCAAAGTCACACTCCTAGTACTTGGCTGGAGCAGGAGCTGAACCATGGCACTCTGGCTTGAATCGGCACCATTTATCGGGCTGTTTCTTTGAAGTGGGGAAGGGTCTAAGAAAACAGGCAGAGTAGTGACTTACCCAACCCATCCCTACCTCTCTAGGAATGTGGGTTTTGTTGTTGTTTTGAGATGGGGTCTTGCTATGCAGCCCTGACTGTCCTTGAACTCGTGATCCTGTCCAGCTAAAACAAATTGTATTATTTGTATTATTATTATTATTATTTGATTTTTTTGAGACAGGGCTTTTCTGTGCAGCCCTGGCTGTCCTGAAACTTGCTTTGTAGACTGGGCTGGCCTTGAACTCACAGAGATCCTCCTGCCTCTGCCCTCTAAGTGCTGGGATTAAAGGTGTGCACCACCATCGCCCAGCAACAAATTTTATGTTTACACTTACTTATTGAGAGAGAGTGTTGTGTGTGTGTGTGTGTTCACGTGTACATGCCATGGAGCCCATGGGGTGATGAGGACAATTCTCAGGAGTCAGTGTCTGCCTTCTACCACAGAGGTCCGGGGGTTCAGACTCATCTCTTCAGACTTGGTGGCAAGCACCTTTACCTGCTGGGCCACCTCACCGACTCCAGCGGATTCCTAAATGCTCTTTGCCATGTACTGCTTTACATTCTATTTACCAAAGAGACTGTGGGACACAACACATTTGGACTTACTTCGACATCTCCCAAAAGTTATTTAAAAGTCAGGTATTGTTACCACTGTCTCTTGCACAGGGAAGATGGGAAAACAGAATCCGAGACTCAGATTTTTGGCTCCTTTGACGCTATATAATTGAACTTTTGGTTATCGGAGGTCACCTCCAAAAATATCAGGTATAGATCAAAATAAAGATGAAAAAATGTGAGGCAAGCTTCAGATTCCCATGGAAACTATCCACACACCCTTTGTCCCTGGCTTTGACTAAGTTTACCACTGCATTCTGTACGGCAAAGTACTTCTGACATGGGTTGCAATCAAGGGGGGCTGGATTTCTCTTCATCAACCAGATAACCCCAAGTCACACAGAATGCAGCTAATCATGATGGCCTGTGTTGGCAAATAGGCTCCTTTTCTGTTTTTCAAAGAGATCATCCAAGGAAGCCTGGGGACAGTAGGCAGGAGAAGAGCCGGACACATGGAGGTGACAGGGGCTAGAAATGCAGGCAGGCTGAGGAGGGGTACCCTGGCAGGCCATGTGCTCTTTGAGATCAGAATCTACATGCAGGCTGTGGGTCAATTCTTGACATGGTGGAAGAAGCTCAGTGAAGGTCCAGGAATGGTACCACAGCCAGGCTGCATGTGATGTCCCTAGAGAGGGAGAAGGAGTGAGGCCAGAGGGTGAAGACACAGCAAGGTCAGGTAGCTGAGTGGGCTTCTGGGAAGGGCAGGGTGCTTAGTGCTTCAGACTCTGGCTCAAGGGATGGGGCCAGGCTGTGCCCAGTACAGCTCTCCTCTGCCCATAGCCTGTGCCTTCTGGGGTTGGGGAAACCTCTCACAAGTTGCTTTGTTTAGAGACTCTGTCCCCATCCCTCCTCCCCCCTGCATCTGTCCTCTGTTTAGAGTTGTGTGAAGCGGAAGACAATTCGGGGCTTATTAGTGTCCCAGGGAGACATGTAACTTGTGCTGCTGGGACCCAAACAGCGCGAGTCTTAGCAGCAAACTCCAGCGGAGTAAGGACTGAGGAATTGTCTCACCTAATTACAGGGCCTGGCTCTCTCTGTGTTTGTGATTCGGTACGGTTGTCCGATCGCTTTTGATCGCTTTTCTCCGTTTGCCGGCTCAGGTCATGCTGGAATTGTGCTAATTAGAAGAGAAATGGACAGAGTGATCCTGTCAGCCCCGGTTACTGGTGGGGACAAAGCAGAATATTATTCTGAGGCAATGTTTTGTAAGAGCCCTTCTCCTGCTCTCATTAGGAGGAAGAGGCCCCCAGGAGGGAAGTTCCGAATGCTTGGCCTGGCTAATGGAGCACTGGGGTGTTCCTGTGCTAACTAACAGGCTCTGCTCGCCCTCATGCCAACCAGGGGCCTCACAGTTGCCCCTGGTATCACCTGAAGCCTCCAACTGTCCTTGGTCTAACAGAAAGTGCCAGACAAAAGGTGGGAAGGTTGATGGCCTTTTCAGACACAGGGACATACTTCCAATGTGGCGAAGATTCTAAATAAGTATGAACAGCCAGCTACAGGACAGTTAGAACTTACGAACTGAACTTGGAGAGACCTCTGCTTGCCCATTCAATGGGCTACTGGAATAGGGTGGTTTGGGGTCTCTTAAAGGAAGGAGAAGACACAAAACAGAATATGACTTCACGCTTGGAGATAAAGATGGGCCAAGTCTAAGCTGCTAAGAAACCACTTATTTGACCCCCGGGAGCCAGATATCTTGGCCTACCTGCCCCCTTTCCAACCTGCAGTCCATCTTCCTGCAATGCCTTAGTGCTGGGGACAGGGACTTCATTGCAAGGCAGTCGTGGACCTCCCAAATGCTGTTCTGAGGCTGCAGAGTCAGTGGGGGAATTTCACCTGCTGTATCATTACTGTCCTGATTTGAGTGAACTCAAAAGCTATAATAACAAGACCAACACCAAGGAGCAGCTAGCAAATGCCTACTGCTAATTATAAGAAGGGCCAGATGTGGCGGCACACACCTTTAATCTCAGCGCTCGGGAGGCAGAGGCCAGCTGATCTCTGTGAGTTTGAGGACAGCCTGGGCTACGTGTTGAACTCCGGGACAGCCAGGGCTACATGATGAGATCCTGTTTTTTGTTTTTGTTTTTTGTTTTTTTTTTTAAAATAAGGGCTAGTGAGGTGACTCAGTTGGGTAAAAACACTTGCTGCCTAGCCTGATGACCTGAGTTCAAGTCCCTGGACCTACATGGTGGAGGGAGAGAATTGACTCCCAGAAGTTGCTCTTTGACCTCCACAAACACACACAGTGAATGACCAAAAAGTTTTATATTATGGAAAATACGTTTTTAAAATAAAAAGATAAGGAAATTAATGAGGGTGCTTTTTAATTAACAAAATTAATATCCTATATGAGCTGTCTATCACTTCGTTTTCCTTAAACTGGAATGCTTTCTCTAGAAGGACATGCTCTGGTGAAGACAAATCCATGACCCACAGGTGGCAGAGTAGCCCAGGTGAGTACTTCTCTTCTCTAGGTCTCACACAAAGGAACTTGTACTAAAGCAGATGAAGATGTCTTCCATCAAGACATGGAAGAACTAGGTACGTATGAGGGAGACACAATCCCCGGAGCTTGTGCTCTCAAAGGGCGGTAAGATCTGGACTCAGATTACTTAGGTGTGAGGTGTGATCAGGTGTGATCCTGTGATCTGCAGCACAGGAATGGCACATTTCAATCTTGGAGGAAGGTCATCTCCCGTGGGGTCACCAGGGCTTACAGGAAGAACAGGTATGATATGTGCAAAATGAAATGGAGGCTGAGACTCCCGTGGCATGGGTAAGCAAGGCACTCACTGTTCAGAGTAAGAAGAGCTCTTATTGGAAGAGAGACTTTCTGGGGAGACGAAAGACTCCAAACGGAAGGATCAACCAGGTTGTCATTTTAAACTGTCATGTTTAACCGTTTAAACCCGAGGAGAGAGATGGACCGTTGACAATATACACAAGGTGGTACCAAAGCTTTCTAAAGGGTCCCACTGGGTCAGGGAATTTAGCAGTGACGGCAGGATGGCTGGTGGGACAGGGGACTTGTCACTCAAATTGTACTTTCCATGAGTCCAGGTTTAAATATACAGCTTGGCCCTTTAAGGGAAAAATTCGACCTCCAATACAAGGGACACATTTATTATGAAGACATATTATACACAAAGTATAATCCTCTAACGTTCTAAAATACATATGCATACTGTACATACATTTATATTATCAATATAAAAATACATCATTAACATTTCTAAGGATGACAAATACAAAAACAATAAATATCACAATTCTACAACATGTCTACTTACATTAATTAAGTGCTGGTGAACAGGATGACAATGAGAGGAGGAGGCCACAGCAGTTCCAAACACCAACCACTGGCTTCCCGTTACAGACGAGTTGGTTTGGGGAGCCATCCCAGTATTCTCCACATACCTTTCAAGTCCCCAAACCCCGAAAAGTGCCTGATATCATCAACTCTCAAAAACAGAGTGAAGAAAAAATTTGACATATGGCATTATTTCTGATCACTCGTATACACTCACTATAACCGCATTTCGTGAGATAAAAAATGTCAATCACAGACTTAAGCTTAAAATCAACTGGCCCTTCTAGGGAGTACTCCAGCAGAATGTTTCTCTTCTCATACTTCTCTTTTGTGGTACATATTTCATTGCTTTTTCCTTTTAAAAAGTAAAACGGTGTCGATCAAACAGCACTAAGAAAGGGGACAATCCAGTATCAACTCTAGCATTAGGCACAAGTGTCTGTCGAGAATGGTCAAGGACCCGCTGTGAACCTCAAGAGCACTGTGCCCTAACAGACACATGACAGAGACCTGGCCACAGCTTCTCCTGTGTTCGAACTCCCAATGGATGATGGCCACGGAGCTTTTCTTCCTATAATATTGAGGGAACTCTGCGCTTTTCAAAATGTGAAAGGCTGGGTCTAATCCATTTTACCCAGGGGCAAGATTTTCAGACTTTAGCAGACATATACAAGTAGCAAAAATAATCTGTGAGAGTTGTTTTAAGCCAGACCATTTTCCTCTGGGTATGTTTGTATCATGTAAGTGGAGTATCTGATATGGGGCTGAGAGGAGGAAAAGGGGAAAGCATTGTTACCATCCGACAGCACACACTAAGTCAGTCGGGGCTTCTTGTTTTCAGTCGAAGGGAACTCTTACAACCATGCCCTCCCACTACCAGGTCACACTCACTTTTTCACTTACAAATGTAAGAGACTAACCAGAGTTCCTTCCATTGTCTTCACACTAGCCTGGGGGTCTAGAACCCAGGGTGACCCAGCATGAGTCTTTTTTCTAGAGAGTCACTATGAGAGCTCCACTTGTCCAGAGTCAGACCTGCAAAGTGGGCCTGGGAGCGGGGGAATGGATAGTGCTAAGGGCAAGAGTGTCATTGGAGGTACAGACTTACAAAAGCAGATGTACATTTCAAGAGGATTGTTTCCTTCAGAATGGAAGTCATAGAATCCGTTAGATCTGTAGAGTTCACAGGTCAGGATGCACAGTCTGGTCCAGAATGTAGTTGGTCTCTCTCTGATGTCCTCGTCATGAATGCTTCTTAAGAGGTCAAGTACAACTTAACAGAACCCACTAATCAACACGTCACTACTGACTCTGCCATTACAGAACCGAAGGAGTTCTAAGATCCTGAGACTCCTCAGTCACTTTTGGAAAGGACCTTTCGGAATGATGAGACCTCTATGTTACCAGAGCTACGGAGCCGACTCAGGAAATGGCAATGGTCCTCGGGTAGAACAGATTCTTCTCTTGCTGCCAAATGTCCTCAGAGGTGCGGAGTGCCAGGAGCAGGGGAGAAGGGCAGTCTTTCCCCAGGAAGCACGCTGCGTGCGTCATCAGAGCGACACTGGGAAGGGAACTTGGTGTAGTCTTCAGGACACTTGTGCTGGAGTGGCTGCTACTTCTTGGGTTTCTCTAGGATGTTCAGGAATTTCCCCCTGGTCATCTCTCTGGCTGCAATCATAAAGAAAACAAAGCAGCAATGAGAATTAGGACCGGAAAGGGGATCACAGGAAGACTTAAGTTACACATGCAGACCCAACTCCTCCAAAGATGTCGTCTGACTTCCACACCCTCGTCCTGTGCACCTGCACTTATAAACACGTGTTAATATGAAAAAGGATATGAGTAATTAAATCAACTGTACACCAAACTGCTACTCCAACAAATTCAATCACCACTCATGTTCTAGCAGAGGGAAAGAAAACCACCACTGACAATTACGACTGGACAGCAAATCTCAAGTCGGCAATGTCTAAGGTCCAGGACGGGGGTGGAGGGTGATTATCAGCTATCCTTACAACAAATCACCAGGGAATTCCTGTAAGTCCCTCTGTTTGTCTCTCAGCTCTAATGCTCATGTTCACTATCTTATGGCGTTTGCTCTGGGAGGCTAAAATCCAACTAGGATCAGAATCTTGTCTGGACTGTTGGTCTCTGCCCATCTAGAAAGTCAAATCAACCCCCCACCCCCCCACCCCCGCCCTGAGCCGCAGCGGGAGGCCCTGTGTGCTGCACTACAGCAGGGTTTATATCCCCTTGGTGCAGTTCATCTGGGATGGTGTAATAAAGCAGCCTTTATAGGCCTTTGGTCCTCTCGCTTGGCATTGTCAGCCCGTGGGTATTTAATAGAACCAGGCAAGGTTTATGTGTCTTTCTCCGACTTTCAGCACCGTCAATCTCTGAAACCTAGCTGTTGCTAGGTTTATTCAGCTACTTTCCTGTATGTCAGGATCCGAAGTAAAAGTAAAACATTTCCCAATTAAAAGGGCCACCGCTCTAGAAGCAAATTTTCAATAAGCATGTGCAATGCAACCTCCACCCCGCTGCAGCCCCATCTTCACTCCACAGAACCATCTTTTTAGATCTCTTAAATGGATTCAACAGCTCTCAAGGTTTCTGATGGCTAGGCTGGGAAGCCAGAAGTCTTCCATAACTATGCAGTGGACATCGGACAGTGGTGTCTCGGCCTCACAATATGTCCATCTTGGCCAAAGAAAGGAAGTGGCTAGGGAGGCACCTGCAGTAATGAAAGGGATGTTTGCCCATCTTCTTGTTGCCTTTATCTAGGACAGAGCAAAAGACTCGAGACAGATCCTCCACTCCAACCAACCTAAACTTAACAGTGGCTTGTCTGCCAGGCCTGATGGTAAAGGCCTGGAATCCTGGACGGGGCTGGATAACTTCCTAAAACCCAGTCCTAGAATAAAGTGAGTAAAACGAGGCCTGGGCTGTAGCTCAGTTGGTAGAGTGCTGATCCTAGTTGGATTTTAGCCTAGAGTGCAGCAGGCTGGAGGGTCAATCACTGCCCGCACGCCAGCTCCTTCTCTGTACAACCTGCCATCACAGGGATGCTTTCGGTATTATCAGTCCGTGCTCCCAGTGTTCACGAGCTCCGGGCTCCAGTGAAAGGTGGACATTCTGTCAGGTAGGAGTGCAAGTTCAGGGAGAGCTGTCTCAGTGCTGTCCATGCCCAAATCTGAGCCTTCCTTGGTGGTTTACACAAGTTTTGTACAGAATTGAGGGAGGCATATTGACTAAATCTGGTCACATACACAATAATAAACGAGAGAATAAACAGGAACACAGCAAGCGCTAACGCTTCCTTTAAAGTCAGTTACGCCTGGACAGCGGCTTTCAGTGAACCTCTCTCTCTCTAGGGTAGGGTTTATTTCCTTTTTTTTGTTATTTCTCAAGAAAATAGTTAATTTTTTTCTTGAAACTAAGTCTCTATGTAGCCCTGGCTGGCCTGGAACTCACTCTGTAGACCAGGCTGGTCTCAAACTGGCAGAGATCCACCTGCCTCTGTCTCCCAAATGCTGAGATTAAAGGCATGTACTACCTACTGGGCCCAGTAAAAACAACAATCAATTTAGGTTTGTTTACTTTGTGTGTGGGTACAGAGCGCCCACAGAAGTCAGAGGACAGCTTGTGGGGGTTAGTTCTCTCTTTCCATCCTGGGTTTAAGGGACTGAATTCAGTTGTAGGCTTGGCAGCAAGTACCCTTTATTGGCTGAGCCATTTGAAGGAAGTAATGCCAAATTAATGGAGATCGGGGTCAAGGACTAACTACTCTAGAGGAAATCCAATCAACTACTTAGCCAAGGGGAGACGGCAAGGCCATTTTATAGAGAATTCAGGACTTGGGGTTGGGGATGCAGCCAGGCTGGTAGACTGTCTGCCTAGTACTACATCAACTGAGCATGGGGGTGTGTCTGAAATCCCAGCACTCAGGAGACAAAGGCAGGAGCCAGAACCGCAAGGCTGTGCTTACAGAGTGAGGGAGAGGCCAGGATGACCACATGGGGAAAAAAACCAAAGAGAACCAAAGAATCTGAACTCATTTCTAGCTCAAGCGCAGCGAGGTAGCTGGGCCAGGCTCAGGCTGGACGGTCTAAGGCTCACCGGCTTCCTCTGTCCAGCAGGAGCAGCAGAGCTCACCTCTACCTTCTCTTGGATGCTGTCAGCGTAGTGGCGACCGATCACTAACAATGGTTTTTAGAGATGGCAAGTAACTAGTTTTTGTTCCTCCCACATTTTCTGAGTGAATGAATGGATGAGTAAGGGAGGTCAGAAACCTCAAAACTCCATTGACAGAATAGCTACCCTTCTCTTTACAAATTTAATTTCCTTCCACTTTTGGGTAGAGCAGCTACAAGGGTTAACTGCCTACTCTTGAGGGTAAAGTATAAGAACTCTAAACCTAAACAGCATCAAACCAGTCTGCAGTGTGGCTGGAGGCCAGTGTGGAAACCAGAACCCTGACACACCCTGATTTCACTGGTGATTTCTGCTTGCTGGTGAGTTCAGACTTCCCAAGTCCTTACTGTTACTTAAAATAATAGGGATTTATCCTTATTTGTGTGTGTGTGTGTGTGTGTGTGTGCGTGCGTGCGTGCGTGCGTGCGTGCGTGTGTGTGTGTGTGTGTGTGTGTTGCCTGTATGTATGCATGGTTAGCGCTTGCAGAAGACAGAAGAGGGTGTCAGATTTCTTGGATCTGGTGTTATAGACGGTTGCAAGCTGCCACATGGGTGCTGGGAACTGAACCCAGATACAGTGGAAGAGCAGACAGTGTTCTTTACCACCAAGCCATCTCGTCACCTCTTACAGTGAAAGAATGACCTGCATGTGTTAAGACTTAGAACTTTAAAGACCCAAATATTTGAGGGCTCAAGAGTTTCAAAGGAAAAACAGGCAGAGATTCTGAAGTCTCTCCGTGGTAAATTTTCCGTGAATTTAACCAATCCTTTTTTTAACAACTCCCTTTCCACTCAATCATTCCTCCCCCTTCGACCTAATCCAAGTACACAGAGTTGCAGGAAACCACCGTAAAAGTAGAAGTAATTCAAAAGACATCATCTTCTACATGGGAGGGGAAAGTTTCCCTTCTTGCCAGTCCCATATAGGAGATATACGAATGCATGACATGGCCGCTCCCTAAGAGAGGCTGGGTCCTATAAATCAGCTCCTGAACACCAACCCCTTTTTGTGCACAGGGAAATTGCTACGGGTCAGGGGCTGCTCCAGAGCAAGTGCCCTCCTGTTCACTTGTCATCAGGAATGTTAACATTTCTGATGAATTCCTACAGCCCTTATTTTATTCCCCATTTCTTTATCCTTGCTCTCTTGATCTGCTGCAGTGTGAAGATTTTCACCCAACCTTCGACTGTAATCACCGCCCGCACACTGCACCCCCCTAAACCTAGTGAAATTGTTTAGTGATGCCAACCGCGCTTTTAATTTGCAAGACATCAGACACAGAGGTAATTTATACCAACATCTGTTCATTTTTGACTTCTGAAACAAACTCACACATGCTGTTACAAAATCCCATTAGGAGTAAGGAGACAGCCTTCTGCTACTGTTTCATATTCCTTACACACACACACACACACACACACACACACACACACACACACACACTCACTCTCCCCCCCCAGGAGGGGTTATATATGTAAATATATTTTGCTAATGTCCTCTCACCAAAGGATTTCAACTCTCTCTTGGGAAGAGCCTTCAGAGCTGCTGCTTACTCTCAGGGGTAAGAAGCTCTCTGTCGTCTCCTGCCTAGCTCCACCCCCCACGCCTTCTTCCCAGTAGTTATAGTTTGTTTTTTTCTGGATAAATGCCCGGGGTAAGATTCTATGTTCTTGAGCTTGGCACTTTTAGTTCCTCCATTTCTCTCGGTTCTTCTCAACACCTACAACGTTGATGTGTCACAACAGAAAAGAAGGGCAGAGCTGGAAGATGCACAGTCACAAAGTACCTGCCGTGTAAGCTGAGGACCCGAGTTTGGTCCCCAGAGCCCACCTGAAAGGGCTGGGTGTGGTGGTGCATGCTTGTCAGCCCAGGGCAGGGGTGGAGACTGGAGCCCCGGGGCTTGCCAGTCAACCAGCCTGGTCTTACCTGGTGAGTCCAGACTAGTGAGACTTGTCTCAGGAAATAAGGTGGACGGTGCGTGAGAAAGAACACCGAGGCTCCCCTCTCGCTTCCTCACGCACATCTGCGCATGCTCCCTCACACATGTGTACTCAGCACACAAAAGAAACAATCCTAAGAGCAAGGGATACAGCTCAATGGTAGACTGCTTGCCTAGCAGGTTGTTACCCGGCATCACACATATACAAGGAAAAGGGAAGAGAGAGAGGAGACAAGGCCTAGAAAAAAGAAGTGGCTAGAGAGTTTTATCTAGTTGATGAAATTTGTGTTTTTCCTTTGGGGCCTATTGTCTAGAACTACCAGCTTGTGGGAAGACAACATTACCACCATTGTAATGACTATGCAAGAGGGACCCAGTGGTCATCAGCCACCAGACTATGTGATGTGCTGATGAGAAGCATGACACCACGTCACACCATGATCTACAAGCCCTCCCAGATAGTGCTCAGATCACAAATGGAGACACGCACAACAAAGACTCCTCGCAGGGTAAATGTGAACTGCTGCTGAGTGT